TACAATAAAAGAGGTTGTTCATGCAAAACCCTACCCCTTGTGGTGTTGTAGTTTTATTCCCCTGACAAAGAAGAACGTTCTGACATGATGTTTTTTCAAAAACCATATTTACAGCTCACTGCTTAACAAATCAAGATAGTCCATGCCAGTGGAATGAGGGTCTGGCGCTATTATGCAACCTTCTCCAATCCAATCGAGAGGCAGCCATTGTAAGGGGAAGGGTTTTGCCAGATGAGGCTCCAACCAGCTCAATTGCTTTTGTTGTTCCGCCTGTACGCGCTCCATGTGGCGTACCCGCTGCAATGCTTTTCGTCCTTCTTCGCCCATGGCTTTGTTTTTTAGGGGGAGCGTGGGGGGCGGTCAATTCTCGGCGTCGAGCATTCAGTCTGTTCCTGTAGTCTTCAAATGTCCCCTCACGAACCATTTTTTCTTTCCAGGCCTTTTGACACGTTAGATTTTTCTTGCACCCTTCGGCCCGTTTTTTCCTCCTACCGTTTCAATCCCTGTTCAGCTTTTTTTTCTTAAACTGGTTCAAATCTGGTTCAAACCTGGTTCAAACCTGATGTGTGGTCCACCAATAATCACAGATCGTGGTGCATCACGTGGTTTGGTTTATGAAGGTCGACGTCAAGGGCAGGAAAATTCAAATCGTCGAGGTTTTCACCAACCATGACCAATGCGGACAACACGTTGTATCACTTTGGTGATGAAGAAGACGGCGAGGACGCTATTTTGGCGCGAGCTTTTGAGCGTTGGGAGCATATGGCAGGCGGCGCGGCCAGTGGTCCTCTATTTCACTTTAAAATGCAACCTGTTGGGAGACGACGTTGCTGCCGCAATGTCTTAGAGCGGGAGCAATTCAATGCGCAATTGCGTCAATTGAGGACTCCCCGTAGCTGGGGACAACATTGGGCTCGCCTTGACGGAAGCCTTGCATAATGCAATCGAAAATGGACTCCAACGAGAGCAGCGACCTGCTCATCATTTTGTCAATTTTGCCATCACTGCTCACGGGTTCACCCACGCCTACCAAACGGCGAATTTCAAAGCGTGGGTGTCCGGTACAGCAACGACAAGCCCAAGAATTGCGTCGTCAAGCAGGGGTGACCGAGGGTCCCAGTGGATTAGAGGAGCTAACACAATTTTAACACTCGTTGAGTCCTCAATATTAATTGCTGGTGATGACCTGCATGAAACCTTTCTTTTTCATCTTCAAGGGACCCGCTGCACCCCACAAAATTCGGTTACTCAAGTCAAATAATCATTTTGACGGTTGCACCTCTTTCCTACCTTCGTGAACCGATAGTATTATTGTCTGGAGTGTGAAAAGGGTTTCAACACCAACGATAAAAAACACCATGCCTGTCAAGGGAATCGCTATCGTGCTTGTGGCCGTTTTGACTGTCCCGAATACGTCCGTTGCACTCGACCAACCGATTACTGCACGCATTTTAACAGCCACTTTTATGGCCCTCCATGCAAACGACATCATTTTGACACCAAACCGTGCCAAACAAAAAAAAACGTGTATGAGGTACCAGGCCCAATACACTGTCATCAAAGGTCAACGTCACCGGTACGGATATGCTAAATGTCCCGTCTGTCATGAGTGGGTTTCCATTCAAGACCACAAGAGTCACATTCAACCCGTCGTAGAGGATGAGGCATCCACAGACCCAGAGGGGGAAGGTCGCATGGTGGCGCCACCCCCTCTGTTTGCTAACGCCGATTTTGAGGCTATGCAAAATGCCGAGGGGATCTTCGTGGCCAATTTGTTATGCCATTCGTCCGCCAAAGAAGAGGCTATCCATGTATTGAAAGGCGAGGATTGTGCCCTGCAATCTCTTCATGATTTAGATGATCTGGTCGATGTTGCGAACAGTGATGAAGAGCGTCAGATTATTGTGGTGTTTCACAACTTGAAAGGTTTCGACGGCATGTTGATCTTGCACGAACTCTACCAGCAACAGCGGGAGGTGGTGGATCACCTCACGATGGGCGCCAAAGTGCTTTCGTTCAAGAGCGGACCCCTCAAATTCATCGACTCACTGTGTTTTTTACCCATCCCGCTGGCATCTTTTCCGTCCACGTGTAGTTTGACGGAACTAAAGAAGGGGTCCTTCCCTCACCTTTTCAACACCCCCGATAACCAACATGTACGTGGGTCGGATCTGCGATTTGGGATTTTACGATCCGGACGGGATGATGACCTAAAGGAAAGAAGAACTGCTCAGTTGGCATAGTGACCAAGTTCGTCGAAACGTGTCTTTCAATTTCCATCAAGAAATGATCGACTACTGCAAGTCGGATGTAGCCCTGTTGAAAACCGGTTGTCAAGCATTTCAGCAGGAATTCCAAACCCAGGCTGGCTTCAACCCCATGGCCAAGTCCATGACCATTGCCAGTGCCTGCAATTAGTACTGGAGAAAACATCACCTACGTCAACACTTGGTTGAAATTAAAACAGGAATCCGCCGGGTGGCCCAGTTGGTGCCAGACCGTGGACCAGAAACGAGAATATATTCTTCGCTACCAGAAGCGTGAGGGGATCCGCTTGGACATCAGCCAGATTGCCAAAAGTCCAGGACGTAAAGCCAAGGCCAAGTTAATGCTCAAAAGGTACCCGATCCATGTTCTTTTTTCGTGTTGTCATTCCACCCCTTCTCATCCTTTCTTTTGTTATTGCAGTTTCTGGGACAAATTTGGCGAACGGAACAACAAGCCCACCACCGTCACTGTGAAAGATCCAGCTCACTTGTTCAGCCTATTGTCGGATGCTGCCCTCAACGTCAGTACTCTGCGATTTTGGAAGCCGTGTACACCAGTGTGTATGACAAAGCGGTCAAAGGCACCAAGACCAATGTCTTCATACCCGCCTTCACCACCTGTCATGCACAGCTCAAACTCTAAGAGTCCCTAGACATCCTCCAAGAGCAAGTCCTTTACTGTGACACCGACAGTGTGGTGTAGAAATGGCGCCCCGATCAACCTTCCATCGCCATTGGCGATTTTATCAACGACATGGTGGATGAACTGGATGGTGACGTCATTACTGAGTTCGTTTCCGGGTTTGCTAAAAATTACGGTTACAATACACGCGTGGGCAAAGTAGTCTGAAAGGTCCGTGGTTTCACTCTAAATGTTCGCGGTTCTGCAGTTCTCAATTTTGAAACCATGAAAGACAATATTTTGGCAGAATTAGACAACACGCTGGACTATCGTCGCACTCTGCATGTGGTGACGTCCTATTATTTTCAAAGGGATTTGGAGAGCAAACGTATCAAAGTTATGCCGCGTGTCATACAGTATGGATAGATCTTCGACAAGCGTGTCATCCAAACAAACACTAAATCCAGTTATCCCTATGGTTACGAGCGAATCGGGAAGAAAGAAGAACTCTTGCTGAATTTGCAAAAAAAAAGATGGAGGGCGTGACGTCATTAGGACCTCACATATGTCCCGGATGTAAATAGCGTATGGATTCGAGATTGCATTAATCCAAAAAGGTGATTTTTATTTCCAATAAAGCGCTTTTTTTTACTTCCGGTGATGTGAGGGGTCTGGAGATTCTTTTTTAGTGTTTTCGCATGCGCGGTAGGTCTATGCGGAAATGGGTTCATATAAATGCAGGGGACCTGAGGAGTATTTTGGTGGTCTGCACATGCGCAGTGAGGTCCTGGGGCAAGCTAAAACAATAGATCCTTGGCTACCCTTTGATTGGTTACAACCCAGCTGGCTACTGGGGTCACGTGTCTAAAACCCTGCGTCAACTATGTCAATTAGCTCATGTGGCCAGAAAAAACCAACATTTCCCGTGTCTTTGCTGCCTTCTGATTGGTCAGTACTTATTGTAGCCACTATTGCTACTTGCGTTAGTCATTTTCAGAGTAAGGAAAGAAGAAAGAAAAAGAAAGAACTGCAGTGTTTACGTCGTCTGTAAAACGCTCCGTGAGGCAATTTCACTTTGTAGTTGTGCATTGACTGTAAGGAAATGTACAAAAAAAGTGTGCTGCACGTGCAGTATTAAGGCTACGACCATACGGCAACGGACGAATTTTCGACCGGTTGAAATATTCGTGCATGTTTAAAAGTGTTGCGCTCACACTGAACTACCTCCGTACGAGAATTTAGACGCCAAACGGTGCAAATTAAAGTCGCGTGTAAACGGAACTAAAATATTGAGCGGTCTCGTGTGTACCAAGCTTGTTTGCCATTTACAAAATGTTTCCGGAAAGAAACCGGTTGGGAGGTAAATGGAACTCGACTTTTTAGGTCGTTCAAACAGAAAATCTCTGCGGGAGCAACGGGACATCTGAAAAGATAATCCGGTTTTTTTCGGACGGAGTGGTCCAAACAGAAATTCGTGTACATGTTCCATTTCTTCAAAGCCATCTTTGATACCAGTTTCAAGCCTTTGTAGCCGTTTTTCGGTACATGGAACTGATTTGTACAAAAAGTAAACGCGCGTCCGGGACGAAACTTACCAGCCCTAAATTTTACTTACCATTTGCCCAAGCCATGAACCAAGCTCCCTGTATCATTTGGGCGGGAGGCTAGTTTGGGGGTTGTCCCTTATAAGCAGGGGATGACAAGAAACGTTTTAAATCGAGTCCAACGAAATGAGCGCTGAGGTGGGAATAAAGTCATTTTATTCACTTTTAACAGATACTATATGAATAATAGCATTCCTTTATCAACAAGGGATAGATCCCGTGTCAATTAATGTTCCTTTTTTTAATCTAAAAAGTTCCTACATTTTGCGTCAAAAAATGTTAGATTTCGCATAAGTTTGCTACATCTTTACGTTAAAAGTTATTAAATTTCGGTTTTATACCATTTGTTGTGTAAAACGTTGTTACATTTCGCGGTATAAATGTTACATTTTTGTTTTATTTTGTACATTTTGCGGCTTAACAAAGCTCACTTTTTAGCTCGACTTTATCTTGCATGGCTCCAATAAGGAAGAATCGTTAATGGACCACCCACAAGGAAGGCAATATCTAGAAGTCTAAACAAGCAATGCTAAGGCCCCTTAAAGGAGCTGTGCCACGAATTGCATCAATATTTAGACCGTCGTACCTATCACCTTTTAAGTGAAACATTAAAATAAGCGCTTCAAAAGTTAGAAGAAGGTATAAATGACACAGCAAATACAAAGGGAAGCAGGGATGGACAAACTTCAAGAATATTGAAAGGGAATTCAAGTGTGGTTTTTGAAAACTTGTTCACCTAACAGTTTTTCAAAGTTCATTTTTGCTTTTTATTAATCATGGATATAATGCTTAGGAGACATATTTTGTATGACAGGCAACTGTGATTCTGTCATTCACAGTTTTGTCAAGTATTATAGCGAATAAAGATCCGTAGATGGCATTATAGCCTCCCACGCAGGCGTTTTTAGGGGAGCTCGAATTTCGTCCCTACGCTCCCCACAAAACGCCTGCGTGGGAGGCTAATTGCATTAGAGACATTATCTAGAAACAAAATGAATTGGACAGCGGTGACACAGCCACTTAAAAACAAATCTAAACTATGGATAGTAGTTGGATTTAATGTGTCTTAACTTCTTTTATTGTTTTGATTTATCAGGCTTAATACTAAGGAACCCCAATATTGGGCTGGCTAACCGTAACACTTGAATTTTCCAAGGGTGTGGTAGCCTCTCTCTTGTGAGCCAGCTGTGTCCCCAAACCATAACTCTATCACAGGAAGTTGAGATTTCTCAGTAAGGAAACCGCTGTCCTCGCGCCACGTGTAATCATTCTTGTCGCAGTTACATCCAAAAGAGGGGTCTGCGCACGAGTTTGGCGACGTCACCCCACAAGCGCACTTTTTGTTATCACCTGGCTTAGCTCCACCCCAATAGAACATGCTTTGATTGTGACGTGATACCCACCAGCACCCAGCATATCTGAAAAGAGCGGCACCATGGCATTCATACTTAATAAACTGTTCGCAGTGAATGGAAACATCTGCTAGGCCTGCTAACTGTGCCACGCCGGTAAGCCCCGTTGCATTGTAGGTGATATGTTTCACGTACCTTCGTGGTGCTTCGTATCCATCAACTAGCATTCTAGCTTCGCTGTCGTGACCTACCACCGTCACGCCAACACCATTTTTGTCGGTCATGTCACAAAAGACATTAAAAGGTTCATTGCCTCCATCGCCATCAGGGTCGATGACGTAAGAGCCACTCGTGGCCTGCGGACGTCGAGCTTTAATGTCACTGCAGCTTCTATCTGGATAATTAAGCGAAAGCAAATGCAATTATTAGATTGACTGCACCGAATGTTATTGTTGTTGTTGCTTGGTTTATATTCTGAGACCTAGTATTTCCAACGCCCCAGTATCAGGAGATCTTCCTTCCCGTGAGAGGCATTTGGAGCGTTTTCACTCACATGGCCAGCAGCTATACAAATTTATTGCTAGTTTTCACATAACGTCCTCAAATTTTCAAACTAAAGAATTAACGATCCTCCTGAAGTTTTACTTTGATGAAGTATTAGAGCAGCTGAAACTCTATACTGTATTTATACAAATTTTAAATTTTGCTTTGCCTGGGAGGAGACGAAAAAGTAGGGGGATGTTTTCTCTTTTTTCGGCATTGCGAAGCCAAAGAAAATGTTTGTATATACGCGGCTCAAGTCACCCGTGCGAAAACGATTAAGAAAAAGACGCGGGACTAGTTGATTTCGAAAACTGTGCGCACCTCTGGAAAGATTCTAGCTCACCTCCGGTAATGTCACTCCTATTTCTTAGCTGTCGATTAATTCTTTTGATCACAGATCTCAACTATCAGTTAAAAACAAACTCAAAACTGCCAGTTAAATCTCATCTGAAAAGGCCCCAGGCAAGGTGGGCTTTGCACTTATTAATCTTAAAGGAGAACATTTACGATTAATAATTATGTCAAACATAGTTAATAATCGTGAAAACCACGACTGATAACAACGATTGACAGGCTTTGTAGTTGTTAATCGTGTTTGGCAGGCTTTGTAGTTATTAATCGTAAGATTGTCAATTTCTCCAGTAAAGCTAACTTAAAAGCTAACGGCCACCATTACAGAAAAAAAAAACAAACAAACAAACAAACTCAAAGTCCTTTTTTCACTCGGCAGCGTTCAAGTCGGTGTTCAGATTACAGCAACAACAAACAATCGGTTTTCACTTTTCTGGCTGAATGTTAGTCTGCTAGACAGCCGTTTTTAGTGTCGTCACGCAACGTTCCTCCCCACTAACGGCTGCTAAAAATCGAACCACATTTCTTTTCCCTTTGTGTTGGTGGTCTAACGAACAAACCAATGCTGTATAACAAACTTGACAATACGTTAGCCTCAGGGTGCTAGGAGCGAACACGCTTCTCAGTTTTCGACAAATCAATCAATTGTCGCTGAGTTTTGATGGGCTCTGTGTCTGGAAGGAACGAAAAGGTCATTTGCAGAAAAGTTTTTTTTTAAGCGGGTAACAAAATTCCAAGTGAAAAAAAAAGGTTTGATAGGCCTACAAGACTCTTACCAGCATCAGTTGGTTCTTTTTAACGTGCATATGTGTGATGAATTTCATGTGCCGGATGTGCTCATTGTGTTGTTTTACATGTGAAGACTGTGAAGATTAAACTCTCAGTGGTACTGATTCAAACAAAAGCAATCTTATAAATCATCGATTAGCGATTTCCCGAAACTATACCCGGCAACTTTATAAGCACATCCATGTTGTGCATCATATTTGCTCGCCTTGCTTGCTGTTGCTGCTTATCTCAAAAATTTTGAAAGGACTCGACTACGCCAACACTACTCTAGTTGATTGCTTGTTTTCACGCGACGATTTTTGATTGTTCTGTCATTCACACATGGGGCCCCGATATAAGCAAAGCTGTGATTGGAGGAGTCACCATACCGCAAACGTGGCACGAACACCTTCCAGAAAATGGTAGCTGGATTCTAATGGGCTAATCGCGGGAAAGAAATGTGGTTCAATTTAGTGGGGAGAAGCGTTGCGTGAAGACACTAAAAACGGCTTTGTAGCAGACTAGCTGAATGTCAATATTAAAAGCTTCACAAAAATACATACCAAAAACCTTTTCGAGAGGTCAGAGTTTCCATTCAGCTTCTTTTTTGATCGATTTTTTGTCTACGAAAGTTAGTTTCTTTTGCTCTCTTTTTTCGATAAACTGACATGGCGAGCGGGCAACCTCGATGAGTTTGTGTACGAAATTATAATAACGGATAAGGCAAATGTTAATCTAAATTTTACAGTTCAAATTATTCTTCCTTTGAATTTTAACTTGGAGAGAGACACTTTTAAAATCCTTCCCCAATTTTCAGCAGTCCCTCTTGGTTCTATTGCTAAACTTCTAGCCGAGACTTGTAATAAAATAAAGAATAGTCAGGAGAAAACTCCTAGCGGCAACTCCTGGCTTTGCGCCAAAATTTCAAACATGCCCGTTCTTACTTCTTGAGCTATTTTGAAAAAATAGCTCACATGTCAGTGGTGTGAGCGTATGTATCTTTGTGGCTTTTTGGCTTCGGATGTTTGTTGCAAGAACCAATAAGGTTGAAGGTACTTTGAGTTGATGCTTAGGAACCAAAGAGGTCTTGGCATCTATTGAACATGGCATTGCTAAAGGTCGAACAAGGGCACTTTGAGACCGCCATCTTGACTCTTCACAATTTTTTCGTCTTTTTTACGGCCACAGGTGTTTAGAACGATTAGATTAAATATCCTCATCATTCGCTGTGTACAGTGATGCAGCTGTTTAAGGGTTCATGTTTCAGTGTGGATGTTGCTTCAAGACATTTCTGACCGAATTCGGCTATCGCGAATGGTACAACGCACTTATTTGTGAGTACTGTTTCACCTGCTTCAAGGTAGAGTATACACCCTATGCAAAACGAAAAGAGACTGGGAGTGATCAACTTGAAAACGAGGCTAGTTGGGCCCGGTAAATAACAATGGCTGCCTGATGCAAAGAGCGCCAGTTTTTGAAAATGCCGCAAAATTGTTGTGTGCCAAACTGTACCAAAAAGAAATACAGAACCGAAAACGGGAAGATAATTTCTTACTTGAAGTTTCCAGACGACATTATCCTCAAAAAACGTTGGCTCCATGCCATTCGTCGAGACGAAGGAAAAACGTTTAGAGTCGGCAAAACACGAAGATCTGTTCCCGTCATTTTAAGCCAGAGGACTATCGGAGGTCAGCGTGTTTATGTAAAGGCAGAGGTAATTCCATCTCGATTTTCGTGGTCCAAAGGTTCTCCGAAATAGAGAGCACCTCCTACATGTTGCAATCTTCCGCAATCTTCCGACGAGGACATCGCCTTATATGAGGGATTTCCTAACTTAGCAACATTTAATGCTGTGTTTGAATTTTTAGATACTGATCGAAAGGGGAAGACATTAGGTACTGTTTATCAAAAGAAAGAACTGTCCAAAAGGCGTTTTAAGATAGTGAAAACGAGGAACCAGAGGGATGTACTAGCATAGGTAGACGAAGAAGCTTAGAACCCAGAGAGGAGTTCTTCCTTGTTCTATGCAGACTGAGAAGGGGATTTGCAGAAAAACATCTAGCTCACTTTTTGCTTGGTATTTCACAGTCGACAGTTAGCAGAACATTCCTTTCTTGGGTAAATTAGATGTATTTAAATTTTTTTCAAATATCTATATGGCCTAATAGGGAGGTTATAAGAGCTACAATGCCTGACGGCTTTAAAGAGAAATATTCTTCTACCCGTGCAATAAGCGATGCACACAAATTAGATGCCAAATGCCTTCCAGCCTTCTGTTGAATTCCAAACTGTTCAGCTCCTATAAGAGCTATGTAACTCTGAAAGGCTTAGTTGGAATTGCTGTCAGTGGAGCTATAACTTTTAGCAGTCAGCTATATAGTGGAAACATTTCCGATTGTGAAATTGTTGAAGGGAGTGGTTTCCTGAAGTTAGAGTTTGACAATGGTGACACCATGATGGCCGATAAAGGTTTTACAATTGACGGCCTACTCCCACTGGGTGTAACCCTAAACATTCCCCCCATTTTAGGGTCCAATAGTCAAATGACAGCACAAGATGTTATCAAGACTCGAGAAATTGCTTCTGTTAGAATACACGTTGAACGAGCCATCAACAAAATCAAGAATTTTCACTCATGGGATAGTGTTGTACCCCTCAGTCTGTTTGGGGTAGTAAACCAAACGTGGAGTGTCTGCACTTTTTTATGTAACATTCAGGACCCCCTTTATTCCACTTAACACTGAGTTAGCCAGAGCTCTGAGTCACACTACAGAATTTCAGTCAATTTGATAAACGTAAACCTGATGATATATCTCAGGTCAACTATTTTGTAAACCAAGTAAAACTAAGGATGTGATTCGCTTGCTTTCAGTCCCGAACACTTAAAAGATGTAAGTTTTTACATGTAGTTCTAAAGATCTTAAAATCAAAGAATAAAGAGAGAAATAAACTTACAAAAGCTTTATCCCGAAAGCTTTCTTATTATACAGACCATGTTGGTTGATACTCTGTCTTAAAAATATCAAGTTAGGTATGAGACACAAAATTTCTCTTTACTCACGCCAAGATTAAATTGGGGTAGTTAAAGGGGCAGTCTCATGAGTTGCGCATGCTCGGGAAATCGTCTTCACAACGCTCTTAACGCTCTTGTTTATCATGGCCGCCATTATGGATTCTTTGGCATTGTGGAAATATTTTGCTTGGAATGTCCTCGATTTCTTTAGTTTGACATGTAGAACGCGCCAAATCGAACTCTTATCGTTAGGTAAGATCACAAGGATGTAGTTGCAAGAGTTCTTTCAGTTCGAAGCGCAAAGGAAACAGTAACAGAGGATGTTCGTGCAAAGGCCAGTGCGGAGACAGTTGTAATTCCAGTTGTAAAAGTAGGGTAAGTTGTCATCGTAAGAAAAATATAACGATTGCATTTCTAGTTTCTCTGAATCTTTTCTTCGGTAGAAATTCATGGACGGTCATTTTTGTGCCTTTCAGGAATCGCAAGGAGGTGCGACCACGAGGAAATCTTGGCTTTCTCCTGGCAGTGTTTTACCATTCAACTTATTGAGAACTGTTTCGGTTGTTTTTTACCATCGTGACCAGTGGCAATGCTAACAGATTCCAGACTTAAGTATTGCTGTATTGCTGTTCCCCTGAATTGTATTCCCTACTATAATATTGTATTAAGTACTCGATTTAGTACCCTAGCTTTTTATTGAATGCGCTGATGGAGGTGAGCTTGTGTTGATACGAACCTCCCTACTTTTCTTATGGAAAGTATGCATAATAATAATTGTTAGCACAAAAGTAACATGATTTACATAATAAAGCCGGAAGGGTTGTATTAAAACAGAGTCAACTCTAGCCTCATTTCCAGCTGCAACTGTAAAAACGGCTACCAGTATTCCCTTTAAAAAGCACATATGTGAGACGCGAAATTTGATGCTCATCACTTCCAGGGCTAAACGTATAACTCCAAAAGTCAGGTTATTCCCTTTGTTTTGTTTTACATCACTCCTGAACATGGTACATTTTCTCAGATATTTGACATGCTGTGAATCAATAACAAGGGAGCATTTTTCCTTAACTTCCAAAAGTACTAGTGGTTTTCTCAATAAAAGTGTAAATAGAAATGTTTGAGTTCCCTTATATATTGTTTATTCCTCAACGATGCTGGGCTTGCAAAATATAGGGGAGGTTGGGGGTGGACTGATCAGTTAATTAATTCATGGAAAAAGCTATTTAATACACATGCATTCCAGTTCAGTCTGTAGGTCATAGCATATTTTCCCAAAAGCAGATGACTTACTATTTTTCTAAAAGTTGCTAATGTCTTAGGGTTGAAATTGACAGTTTTTCTTACTATAATATTAATATTAATATATCAGTACCAGACATGTCTTTCATTGTTCACAATTCCTGATGCTGTACAAAAATTTCACTTTGAAGAATATCAGTATTTCTTTCTTCTTG